TCTCTCTCTCTCTCTCTCTCTCTCTCTCTCTCTCTCTCTGACTCCAATATAATGGCTTTTAAACCACCAAAACCAAACTGAAAACATTGATTCGTCTCAATACATTTTCGGCTTTCGTTCTGCAATCTGTTTTTGAATAGATCATAAAAAGATTTTATGATCCATGGTTTTTCCTCGTCTTAATGACATGACAGTGTTCTCAGTTATAATTGCTTGTCATCTATACCAAACCTCTTCAAAACCCCTACTGGGCAACCCATCTAGACTGACGGTAAATAGATGAGGCGAGGAAGACTCTCAGAATGTCAGCACTATGATTTATGAAGGCTGCATGAGTTATTTTGAATCTTATTAGTCCACTATCCAAACATGCTAATAATCATGAAGGTAATTTGTCGCTTGAAAACCGCATGGAGCTCGGAATTGTTTTCCCGGAAAAATTTACTCGATAAGACATAATTCACATATGCAATGCAAGAAATTTATGCTAGGTGCACTGATCAAAAACTTGCTGTGTGTGGCTATTCTTCGATTTCACGTTACGTCATCGCGGCCATGTTGGTGCCATTTAACAAAAGATTTCTCATTAGCACCCGTTGTAAACGGCACCACAATGGCCACCATGCTTTTGTCTTTTGACTCTCTTGGGAATGCTTACAATCCATCAATACGTTTTTGCTTCAAATAGGGCTGTTAGGTCGTGATGTATTTCCGGCAGTCAACTGCTCACGAAAAGCGCTAAGATAAAGTGAAAAATGTATTCAATGATAACCTTAAACAATTTCAATAAAAAAAATTTTGAACGATGAAGAAGAAAAAGTAAACAAACTATTTATGCAACTAGAAGATATAACTAGCTAAAAACTAGTGTGAGCTGCGTCGGTGCTTCTAATGAAAYAGTAATGATRAAAAGGTAAATTATACACCGTGAAAAGATGAAAAAACTTACTGTCGACGTTTCGGACGCTAGTCCTTCGTCGGAGTAAAAGAGCAACTGGTTTTCATTTGGGAGGACCGAAAATCATTTTTCTATATGATTGACATCACATGTGAAAGTCTTTTTTCTTTGAATTCGAATTCTCTTATTGCACTATTATTTTGTATCGGTAACGCTTGAGAAGAAAAGAAATATGAAATGTATACAGCTCAGACAAATAATTCTGTTCAAAACCCAGGGATTTTAAATCGTTTTTGACTTCAAACTGGGAAGACAATCATGGTAACTAGATCGTACCGATAACAATGTTTTTGAGCTTGACGCTTTTCCTATATTAAAGGACTGGAGAGTTCTTCAAACTTAATCAATAATTTCTGATGTAAGTACCATAGCGTATATGATTGTCTGGAAGATATGAAACTTCTCTGGTGATGAGGCTTCGACCGAAGGGGCTACAAATGCCTAAAAMATTTTTTTTCTCTCAGACGTTTTTCAACTGGAATGAGTGGGGAAAGACTGTTATTTTAATTTCAATAATTTTTAAGCCTGAACAGTTTTATTTTATTATAAAGAGTGTAGACTGAAACTTGACATTGTCAGGCAAAGTGCTGAAAATGGAAGCCTTATTACTACAGCAATAATCTGTAGGGTTTTTAATCATAAATTATTCACGAAGCGGGTCACTAGTACTCCAACAAATGTCCCAGAATGTGTCAGTAAATCAGTCAAACTCAATGCAATTAATTTATTCTCTTTACATTAAATATCATGTGACTTTATTATCCTTCTTACTTAATAGTGTTATCCAAAACAACCTTATTATTCACTTTCAAAAAAAAAAGAGTTCCAACAAGAATACATAATCGTGCAATTTATATATATAGCAAGAATGGTCGAGAGAAAATAGGGAGGAAACAGCCTCGACTATAGACCAGCCAAGACTTTGTCAATCTTTGCTGCTTTCTCTGGAGACAATCCAAACATCTTGATTGCTTCTTTGCTCAGCTTGATGCTTGGTTTAGAAGGTGACACCAGGCTACAAACACGACGGCCGTTAACTACCGCACAAATGGCTGGAAATCAAGACAAAAATTATAATCAATCCAGTTATCTTAGATATATAATTTTGCTTAACTGATAAGAAAATTACAGAATATATGGTAAAATATACTAGTAAAATTACCAAATAATTAATTCGCACGAAAAATCACTTAAAAAGAAAAAAAGAGCACAAAATAAGAAGATTGGAGCGATAAACAGTAAAAGCATAAAATAGTTCAATTGACCAATAACGTGCGATGCTCGTCAATACACGACTTTTGATGTATATACCTATTAGACGTGACGTCAAAACAGCTCAATTTGAAGGCAAAACAAAAGAATTTCAATCTTATTTCAAAGCTATTACTATGTCCTCCATAATTGGATACCATCGGTTTGTGGATTTGGCTTGCCCTGACTTTAACTTTGAGGCCCTTTTTGTCCAGAGGCAATTTAGGATACTATATATTTTGAAGGATTATTTAAGAAAGGGTCATCATTACTTACGTCGACTTGCTCTTGCTGCACCACAACTTCTAGATCCAGGAGCATACTCCACTCTGGCGCCACCAGGCAACGCTGCATTGTTGAGAACTTGACGTGCATGAACACCATTGGTGGTAGGAAGATTTGCGGTAAGCGATGAAAAATGTGCAGTTCTATGGGCGCTGCTTCTTTTCTGCCAGTCTTCCCAAATCTAAGCCCAGTATTGAAGCACAATAACATAGTATTTAACAACAACAACTTAAGCTTTCCACACCCTGGACGACCGTCGCAGGTAGTTCCATCAAATGGTCATATACAGCTATTTCAAAAAAAAGTTGGTGAATGTTTTGTTGCATGTAGCATACCAAGCCCGAAATGCACTATGGGCGATGTGAGTGCATTGGAAATTATCAAAGAAATAGCATTTCGCCAAACTTTGTCTGCACGTTGTCTCGGCATATTTTCTTGTGTTCTTGAATTATTTATATGTGAATATGATACCTTCAAGCTTGGAAAACAACACGCAACATACAGCATGCAGCAAGCAACAATACCGTTACCAGCCTTTTTTTTGAAATAGCTGTTTCACGCCAGTCAAGTTGTGGTTCAAAACAATAGAATTTTTTAGGTAAAAACAAGAGATTTTTTTGGAAATGTTCAGTAAGTAAAGGCAGCTTTGAATTATATCAACAAATTAAAGTTTACTGCCAGAAAATCAAAAGTTAATTATTTGGGAGACGTACCTTGTCCACAAAGCCATGGTGTAAAAAGAATTCCGGTGCTGAACTTGAAGAATCTCGATCACACATAGTTCCGCCTATCAAACAATGAACGTCGCCGTGAAGTCCATCAATTCCAAAAAGAAAATCACTTGACTGCCTGGCTGGGAATCTTATTAGCCTTCTCACATTTTCGCAGTTTGGCATATTGCCGTTGAAATATCTTTGCAAACACCTTGATGCAGCTGACGGCACAAGTTCCCACTCACCAGCCCTGAAGGGACCATCTCTAACACAACTTCCCTGCGGACTGCCGTCCCCACCAAAACCACTGCTGCCTGAATACCAAAGAGCACTTGACGATGTAGCCCAGGGTGTTTGTGAAACAGTGCTCCAATCCCAGTAAGAAATTGTAAATGTACAATCAATTCTTCTCAACAGATTTTCGTATTGTAACATGTACCATCTGTGCCAGGGTAGTAAAGTATCTTCTGAGTGAAGTTGATCGAAGAAATCTTTGTGAATTGTAATAAGGGCGTCATATTCAGCCTTATATCTAAAACAAACAAAACAAAAACAAAAAAACGCAATAAAATTTTTTTTTTTTTCACTTCCATGAACTTTTTATAATCATATTTTTAACCTTTCATCCTGAAAAACTGCAGTAACAACTTAGTTTGGATATAATATTCACATCGTTATTCACTAGACTACGCCACATTTTCATAAGTAGTATTGTATAATTCATTTGTTTTTCTACGTCATTCTACGGAGGGAAAAGCCTAATATAAATGTGATTCAAACAAAGTGTGACTCTTATCAGAAGTGAATGACACTTTGTCTGAATTGGGACTAACATAGACTCATCAAAATAAGACAGACAATTGATCTAAAAAATTACATTTTTCCTACTAACATCATATCTAGAAGAATATAGAAGAAATTAGAAGAATTTAGAAGAATATATCTTAAAAGATATTTTTTCTAACCTCGAATCAGTAGATGCTGTTTTTATAACTTGTATATATCGTTCACGTTCAGCGGTTGTCATGGCAGTAAACTCTTTTCTGATGCGAGTACACTGGGTCAAGGTATTATTGGCTGTACACACACACCGCTGACCACAACTATCAACTACTGTCTGACCTGTTTGACAACCTGTTAGAGAAATCATATCTGTTTGTAAATCAAATTTTCCGAATTTGAAAAATGAAAAAGGGTAATGTAATATAAAAAACAACAATAAAGAAACTAAGCAAACAATCACAACAGACAACGCTATTTCAATAATTAATGAACAAGTTATATTGACAATCACGAACCAAATTGCCCTTAATTAATTAAGATTTAAAATGTAAACTTTTTCAAATATTTTTTTTCCAAACGATTCCTTTTTATAGATAATGACTTTTTAGTTTTGAATCGTTCGATGCTTACTTGTGGGACAGGTTCGTTGTTAATCGACAACTCTTAAGTGCTTCACAAGTTGTTGATATTCAATGTATTCTTTCTTAATTTTTACTAACCACATATATTCGTGGCACATATCTGTGTCTCGCTACTTGATCCTGTGCAGTCTCGTCCACCATTGGCTGGTGCAGGGTTTGTACACGTGCGTGTTCGTGATTGGCTGCCTCCACCACACGTGACAGAACAAGAGGACCATACACTCCACAGAGACCATCSACCATGGGGTTCTGCACAAGACGAGTAATGATATAAAAACTGATTATAATCATAAGTTCTTCTACAAATTGTTAATATTCAATGTATTCTTTCTTACTCACCACAGCCATTGGTGGCACATCTCTGTGTCTCGCT